AGGATATGTAATTATTGGGTCCCACAATCAGAACAGCCATCGAGAACAAACATGTAGCAAGAACGGGTGGCTATCCACATTTAACTTTCAGATGCCCTTGTGAAGTATTCAAGCCGATTTCGTCCAAGTGGATGCAGGACTGTATATCTGCAATTAATAAACCAAGTTAGGCAAGTGCTTATGGAGAAAATCCCTGGCGATAGACTCCGCCTGGGAATGTGAACCAGGGGAAGCCCCGGCCCGCAACATTGCGCGGACTCAAAAACAGTGCGAGAATCGGAAATCCCGACAGCGTACGCGACGGAGAAAACGGCGAGAAAACGTGCCGGCAACCTCGACTAGATGGACCACCACAATCCTGAGACAGGATTAATCTCTCTTGACAGACAGCGACACTTGTAACTTCGTTCTACAGGATCTGTAAAGGGGCAATTGAGCACCGACCTGGTCCGAATCTACGAGGAATAGAGGGTGCTAGCGTGCGAAGCGCAACGATGGCTTCCAAATGGCCTCCGGCTATTTCTTAAGTACCTGTGCATCAGCAAAAGCACAATTTACGCGCCATCTTTTGATCTTGTGATGTCGCGTAGCTCGCGTCCGCGAGAGTACGCGAGCTTTTGATGGATTCCGAAATTTTAGGTGGGCTTTCTACATACCGCACCCTCACATTCAGCTAAGTTATGACTGCCGCTGTGTTGCTTGGAGTCCATTCAACATTTTTAGGCCTCGAACTATTCGGATCGGCTGGCATTTCAATCAAAGCTGTGCTCGCGTGGCTCGCGTAGACTCGCGTAAGGGGGTGTGATTTTGGACATAGCTCGTGATCGCGCCCACGCGCGATCTTTGACGTCTTGTAGTCGTCTTGTGGGCTCGCGTACGAGCGCGTACGCGAGCTCACGCGCAGCCAATCGTCTCGAGCACAGCTGCGAGCTTCTTAGGAAGCGAGCGGTTTAGCCAAATCAACCGCTCCCCGAGGGGGAGCGGCCCAGTGTCTATGTGCCGTTGCTGGATGGCGTGCATACAGTAAACTATAGGGATGGAAACACACGAGCAGGAGTAATAAGTACGAGTGTCCGTGTGTATATAATATGTAGGGTGGGTGACCAAAAAAATGGCTACGCTATCCACGGCACGTATAATAAATAAGAGATCTCTGGAGAATAATGAGAATGGCTCACCTGGCAAGGCAGTGGAAGAAATCAAGAGATGACCACTGCTTGCCAGGGAGATTTGTAATTAGGGGTTTCGGGACCGCGCTAAGTGGTGATGCGTAAATTTACGGTGGAGTGCGAGGAAATGGGAGTAACTCACTGCTACGACTCTCGCTTAGACCACAGGGGTGGAGAGGAGCGTACTCTTTTACAACCGTTGAGGGTTTACAACCTTTGAGGTAAGAGTGTGAGAGGGAGCGGAAGGAATCGGAGATATCTTGCTTACTCAACGATTAGCCTTGTGTAAACTCCCGTTTAAACTCGAATTGTTAAAATCCCGATGTGATTGCCGATCAATTGCATCCAGGGGCAAGGACCAGGCACATGATTCTTTTTCATGCGCATGCACATCTGTCGTACATGCGCCGATGGAGCGCACAGAGAAAAACAAAGGGGCTTTATTTCTTTTATTTTTTGCTTTGTCTCCGGCCGCCTGTGCATTTAAGGCACGCAACGTTCATGTGCCTGAGTCCTTACCCCCTGGAGCAGCGCAGTCTGCAGTGTAAAACCATTTGAAATGTCAGGTGAAATTTTGGACGTCTTCTAGCGGAGAATTTATGATGTGAGCTGGAGGAGAAATAATATACATACTGACTTTACAGTAGTTTGTATTGCAATGGTTGTTCACTGTTGAAACCGATTTCCTTGCTTACGCTGAATTGAAACTGTTGAAATCCTTCGAATGACTAGCAGAGTGCATGGGAATTATTCATCCGGGGGCTACTTTGTCGCTGAAAGGTATGGCGGTCAGAGTGCCCCTTTAATAAAAGGGGTACGAACACTCCACTTTGGTGCGGATTTTTGGCCTACAAGTAGAAATTTTTACAAAGAGGGATTTTTTATTTCATGCAAGAAAAAAAGTTGTGGATTTCACACTTTTTCTTGCAGAGAGGTGTGTAAACTATTACTCAAAAGTACACATCTTTGCCAGTGCCGTAAGTGGCTGTGCTAGGCGGATCAAAGCCTCCACTGATGCGCAAGTCCTCCCATTATGAACGGGTATCGTCTACAAGGCGGCATCGAGCCACTCACCAGCAGTTCAATACCAGGAGATGCTGTGTCAGCCCCTGCTGCACCTGCCATCTTCAGCAGACTTGAACGGCTCACTTGAATATCTTCAACTACCTCCTATCGGACCTGCCGCCATCGGAACAGCACATGCCATCAAGTCGAGCTCGCTTTTATTCAATGGAGATTTTTTTTTGTGGTGCCCGAAAATAACACTTTGAGTTTTTTCTAAAAAGTACACAGTAGACTCAATATTTTGAGTGGTATTTTAGTGGTTGAAAATTTTGCACTGGGTGACTTCCCGTAAGGATTAAATACTTGGGTTGAGTTTCCCGGGGGTGCCAGTGATGTCGGCTAGCTTTAGAACGAGAAATTAAATTCACGCATGATTCCCGTAACGGGCGGCATTTCTTGTTGTAATTATTTCGAATAAACACTTCACCCGCTACCCTTTGCCCACTCGTTGTACTTCCGCTCAATCTCCTTCCACCCCTTCTGACCAATGGGCAGCAAGTCCTCGACGACGCCCAAGATATCCACCTTGCCGTACCTAGTGGAGGCGGCGGGTCGACCGCCCTTGGCACACTTGGGGGGCTTGTCCTCGTCTGAGCCCGAGGACGCGCAATAAACGCGCAAACATTTCTCGCCAGTGGGAGCGTTGTCAGCACCCAACATATGCTGCAGCTCCGCCTTGCCGTAGCTAGTGGAGCCGGCGGGTTGAGCGCCCTTGGCACGCTTGGGGGGCTCGTCGTCCGAGCCCGAGGATGCGCGATGAACGCGCGGACACTTCTTGCCAGTGTGAGTGTCACGTTTGAAGCCCTCGGCGCTGGCGACTTGAGGATCGGGGCCTGCCTGCTGCATGCGCTGGGTTTGGTGAGCCATTAGCCTGAGGGAGAGGACAATTAAAGACATACCGGAGGTTCCTCGTAAGGAACCTACTTTCCGTCGTGGTCGCGAATCCATGGGTTGTGCTGGGCATCGTAGTGTATCTCGGGGGCTCCACAGTAGAGGGGGGCAAGAAGCTGGTGAGGAGGATCAGACATTTTAGGTCTTTCTTGTTTGGAGAGGTGGATGTGGAAGTGAGACGTACCATAGCAGACCCCTCGTCTACCCTTTAAACCTCTCGCATGACGACGGCGTGGACTGGCAGAACGAAGGATTTGTGGCGTCGCGATAGGCCCCGTACATGAGGATGGCACCAAGCAGCGCACTGAAAACCGATGAGCACGCACTTTGACTCCAAGATTTTCATGTTCGCCGACACGCCGCAGTGCAGGTAGTTCCAAAGTGGGCCACCAAGACAACAGTAGCAGATGATCGACACCGAAAGAGGACAGTGAGACTTACCGGCATTTGGCGCGACAAGACGTGACCATAAATCCTGCGCGAATTGGGCGCCAACCGGGCCAACCCCATCCTGCCTAAACTCTCCTGGTGGTTTTGTATTTAAACCCTTACAGAAGTCCTTGAAGAAATAAGCAGAGACAGGGCCAGAGTTTGGAGGGTACGAGTGAAAGCGAGGTGGTAGGAGGAAGGACGATGCCGTGGCCCACAGCCACACGGCCATCATCATACCTTCCTAATTCGTCTTATTCGTCGAAACTTAAGTTTAGAAGGGGGGTAGGTACCCCTCTTCTAAATCCTGCATTGATTGCTATTTAGAACAGGGTCTAAGCGAGATCTGAGCACGATGGGGTCCCGATCGTTCGTCGGCATCTCGGCGGAAATTGTCCAGAAACTCGAATCGAGTTTTTAATGCTTACGGGAAGTCACCCACTGTCAAGTTTCAAAAATTTGTGTAAAAACAGACAGTTTACCCTGGTTTTATTAAAGGGGCACTCTGACCGCCATAGAAAGGGAGGTTTGAACTTTGAAACTTTTATGGTTGAAAATCAATTGCCAGTTGAACATGCCGGCTCGGCACACCTCAGATAACGCTGATCCTAACAACCATGACCCCTAAGGGGCGGGCGGCGGCCACTGACCCGTCGACGCCCTTGCCGGCTCACGACGACTCTAGGACAAGTCGACAATCAGTCACCGAGAAGGGAAACACCGTCTTGACGTCGCCGTGTGAAATAGAAGCGGACAGAAGCAACGTCACCAGTCGAATCGGATCGCGCAGGGCTCGCGCTGTACCACCGCTACCTGCCAACGCTCATGTTCTATGGGAACCTCGCTCAGCTGCCTCTCTGTCTTCTCGCTCCGTGTCGCCGTCTTTGCCGCATCGCCCCGCCCCTCAACTCCAAGTCCATGGGTCTCCTGATGATTCTTTTGCTCCGTCTGCCTCGGCGACTGCATCTAAGCCCCCGAACAAGAAGAAGAAGAAAAGCAAGCCACGCGACACAGCAAAACAGCAGAAATTTTCGACTTTCCGTGCTCTTGCCGAGGATGAAGATCAGACTAACACTCTGGACGGACTCGCGCAGCTTTTGGGAGATGTGATCAAGACCATGAAAGCGTACACGGGCACGCTGATTGTGGCGTGTTACAACACGTTGGACGCGATTGCGATGAGGTTGGGCAACCACCTCACCTTCCCTCAAGCAGGCGATGAGCGAGAGGCGCTAGGAGCTGTCGTTTCGAGGACAGTCTTGGCGCCGGTGAAGGAGCTTACGGCGAAGGTGGAGCTGCAGCAAGAAGCGATCATCAGTCTCACCAAATCAGTGGAGGCACCCGTAGCTGTAACATAGAGCCTCTGTGCGTGGCTGTAGCCAGAACATAATTTGGCTATCTGCGTGGCTGTAGCCACCCCGGGGCTAGACAAATAAATTAAATAAATGCCAAGTCTGGGATTCGAACCCAAAACCATCTGCCAACTTGGATTACTAATCATAAGCTGACACTACAACCAACTGAGCCAAGAGGGAATTGAAAGCAGCTATCTATATACGTACAGATCATACCCTGCCCAGCACATAATTAGCTGCAACCTTCCTATTATTATGGCCCACATAGGGCCACTGATTAGGGTTAGAGGTTAGGGTTTGGGTTAGAGGTTAGTGGTAGGGTTGGTTAAGGTCAGGGTCCCTAGGGATATATGATGTCTCATTGGTTAGAGTTTGTATGGTTAGTTTGGTTAGAGTTTCTGGCTAGATTGTTAGGGTTAAAAACCCTAGCCTATCTGAGAGTAAACAATCAATTTTAAGGGCCTCTTAGTATACTGATTAATGACAGGTTGGCTAAAAAAAATAGCAAACCCAATAGGTTGTAGGTTCAATCCTTGTCCCAATACTTCTATTTTGCATTTTGAATGCTAGAAAACCTTATTTCTGGCTGTAGCCACCTCCTGACTAGGGCCAGGCAGATAGACAACCTAGCCACCTGGCTACAGCTACGCCTATTAGTCTATATCCTACCACTTGGGCTCGTGGAGGGCATGAAGAAAGTGCAGCAGCACATAAATCCTTCCCCGAGCTCATCACCAATATCTCAATCATCGTATGCTCGTGCGGTGCAGAATGCCGCAGGCTCCAAGACGCGGAACCCTTCTCGCAACCCGTCGGACGAGCGCATCTTGGTGCGCTTCGACGACGTGGTGCCCACTCTCCTAACCCAATCGTACCCGACGATTCTGTGCGAGCTGAACGCGAAACTCGCGGTATTCGGTCTCCCGGAACTAGGGTGCACGCAGAGGCATGGTGGGAAGGCCATCTTTCTTGTTCCCGCTAGCGGGAAGAAGGAGGATTGTGCTATCCTTACGTCGCGATGGGAGGAATGGGCGCCCTCGGTTCTGCCGGGGTGCCATCTCGTTCCTCCGGCGACGTATTGCTTCCTGCAATTGGATGGAGTGCTTTTCTCGGAGGCTGACTCCCTCGAAATGATAACGCATACTTTTGAGAAAGAGAACCCCGAGTTGGGCAAAGTGGTGGGTGTCGCTACATGGGTGAACAAACCGCCGTCGGAGGCTAAGATCGCAGCTATGGCAGCTCGCAATCGCAAACCACCGAAGGCGGGATCATTGCTCATCCGTTTGGCGACGAAGGAGCTCGTCGACCTCGCGGTCTCAAAGCCGCATGTGGTCCTTGGGGGCACGACAATCGCGGTTGGTCGAGGGTTTCCCCACCTCCGTGTTTGTCAGTGCTGGAATTGTTTCAAGTACTGGCATACCCGATCGCGGTGTACATCAGCACCGCAGTGTGGGGGATGCGGGAAGGCGGCGCACGGAGTCGTCTGCAGCGAAAAGCCTGTCTGCATTAATTGCGGAGGTGACCATCGTGCGGATAGCTTCATATGCCCCACCCGCAAGCGTATAGCGGCAGACCTGCAGCAGCAGGTCGCTGAACTCTATCGCATGCTGGATGAGACATCGATTTACCGTCAACCCAAGACGGCTGCTGTTGGTACGCTTTCTCCTCTCTCTTCTGCTCTTGGCCTTACCGATCTACCCAACCACCTCGCGCCTCGGCTGCACGAACGGTCATGATCGTGAACATCGTACAGATTAATGTGTGGAAGTCAAGGTACCCCATGGAAACGCTCATGGGGGTCTTCCGCTTCGACGTTATCTGCCTCCAGGAACCCTGGGCCAAGGAGGCGGAATCTTGCGAGCACCCCGGTTACTATCTCATCACCCCGGCAAGCGAATCACGACACAGAGTTTCTATTTACATACGGGAAGCAACAATACCAGCATCGAGCATATGTCCACGCCCCGACTTGGCAAATTCCCCCGACATTCTCGTTGTCGACCTCATCCTCGAATCGCGTACTATCTCCCTCATCAACCTGTATAACGACTGCGAGACGTGGGCAGGCGTGGGCCTCATCAACGACGTCCTCGAGCGACTCCCCCCCAAGCGCGACGTCCTCTCTTTCATGGACTCCAACTCCCACCACGTCCAGTGGGACTCCAATACAAGGACAAAGCAGATCGACGCCGACTTCGACCTGCACGACTCGCTCATCGCGCACCCTCTCACGCTCATCTCCCCGCCCGACGTGCCCACCCACCTTCCCTCCGGCAACGTCATCGACTTAGGGTGGGCGTCCCCGTCCTTGCTTCCGTTCATTCGGGACGTTTCTGTGGAGGAGATGGGTCTGGGGAGCGACCATCTGCCTATCAAGTACGTCCTGGACCTGGAGCTCAGCCTGGAGACGTCCGCTCGTTTTAACCCGAAGTCGATGGACGACGATAAGTTCCTGGAGATTCTGCAACACGAACTGGGGAAGCCGATTACCCAGATTGAGACGCAGCAGGAGCTTGACGAGGCGATGGATGCAGTGATGGAGGCGTTGGTGCGGGCAGTGGAGGGGTCGACGAAGCGGAGGCGGCCGTGCGCGCACTCAAAGCGGTGGTGGACAAAGGAGTTGACGGGGCTGGTGAAGGGGATGGGAAGGGCGGAGAGGTGGTACCATCGGCGAGGGAGGCATGGCTGCAGGCGCGCCGCGACGTCTATAATGCGGTGGGAGCGGCGAAGGAGGCGGCGTGGCTCGAGTTCAAGCAGAACATCGAGCGCTCCAACTTCTACGACGTGCTCAGTCGCATCCGTCGTCGCCCCCGCACGGTGTTTCCGTCCCTCGTCGACCCGAGCACGGGTGAGGCAGTGGTGGAACATGAGGGAAGGGGGAGGCTGCTGGCGGCGACGTGGTTTGGAGGATCGGCGGAGGAGATTGCTGGAAAGGACGGTGCGGCGATGCACGTCGGTGCTGGTGGGGCGGGCAGTGTGCGCACGGCGGGGGTAGTGGACGGGGATCGGGATGGTGCGGGGATGCATGTCGTAGCGGGAGGCGCGGACGGGGCGCGTGAACGTGACACAGGCAGGGAGGTGGTGGTGGGCGTTGGGGACGGTGCGGAGACGCACGTCGGAGATGGTGGCGCGGGCAGTGTGCACACGGCGGGGATTGATGAGGGGGAACAAGATACGGTGGAGATGCGCATCGTTGCGGGAGGCGTGGACGGGGCGCGCGAATGTGACGCAGGCGGGAAGGTGGTGGTGGGCGTCGGGGACGGTGCGGGGATGCACGTCGGAGATGGTGGCGCGGGCAGTGTGCGCACGGCGGGGATAGATGAGGGGGAAATAGATGCGGCGGAGAGGTGCATCGTTGCAGGAGGCGCGAACGGGGTGCGCGAACGTGACGCAGGCAGGAAGGTGGTGGTGGGCATCGGGGACGGTGCGGGGATGCACGTCGGAGATGGTGGCGCAGGCAGTGTGCGCACGGCGGGGATAGATGAGGGGGAAATGGATGCGGCGGAGAGGTGCATCGTTGCAGGAGGCGCGAACGGGGTGCGCGAACGTGACGCAGGCAGGAAGGTGGTGGTGGGCGTCGAGGACGGTGTGGAGACACACGTCGGAGCTGGAGGCACGGGAAGGATGCGCATGGTAGGGGTGGAGGGGCGGGCGGGAGTGAGAGGTGCGGGGGCAGAGGGTTGGGGAGCGGTGAAAGCTATGGTCGACGCCCTTGTCATTAAGGACGAGCGCGCGCTGGCGCCGGTGACGGAAGAGGAGGTGCAGGCAGCGGTGTTCGCGGGTGATGACTGGGAGGCCCCAGACATTCATGGGCTCCAGATTGGATATGTCCGACGCAGGTGGGGAGTTCTAGCACCCTTCGTAGGCTCCATCTTCCAAGCATCCGTCTCTCTCGGCCTATACCCGACTCGCCTCAGGCCATCCATCGCCATCCCTACTCACAAGGCGGCACGGAAGGACAAATCCAGCCCAAAGGCGTGGCGACCGGTGGAGCAGCACACCGAGGTCCTCGCAAAACCGCTTGAGCGTCTAATGGCATGCAGGATCGCATTCCAGGCGGAATCCCGCGGCACCCTCGACCGAGACCAGTACGGCGGACGCCCCGGCCACAGTACGCTCCAAGCTGCGAGCGGCTTCATTCACCAAGCCCGCAAGCACATGGACGACGGGATGGTTGTCTCCACCCTCTTCCTCGACCTCAAAGGCGCCTACAATCACATCAGCCATAGGATCGTCGCACAAATCATGGCCGAGGAGGGCTACTCGCGTACGGAAATCCAGTGGGTGATGGCCTGTTTTCACGGGCACCGGACGACGGTGATGATTGACGGGCGGCCAGCGGTGTCGGTTCGGATAACTGGCCACGGTGGGCTGCAGGGATCAGCACTGACGGTGATGGTGTTCCAGCTCACGATTAACCGCCTACTCCGCAAGCTCAGTCAACTTAGCCGGGTCTCGGTGAACGCGAGCTGGAAGAGCGGCTTTGTCGACAACGTCAACTTCTCGACGGCGAGCCGGTCCATCCTGGCCAACGTGGAGTGTCTGGAGGAGGTGGTGAGGGTGGCAAAGCGGTGGGAGGGGGAGGATGAAGCGGTGTTCGAGGAGAACAAGACGGAGTTGTTGCATATGGTCAAGGGGAGGAGGGACTTTGCAGGGTTTCCGGTCAAGTTTGGCGGGGCCGTGATCCAGCCGTCGAAAGAGGTGAAATGGGTGGGCCTGTGGCTGGACGGTGCACTGTCGGGTCGCAAGCACGTGGAAGTCAGAGCGAGGGCAGCGGCGCGCATGCTCAGCGCGTACATCTCGGTGATGCACACGTCGTGGGGTTTGCAACCCATCCTCATTCGCGACCTCATCCGCTCGACCGTGTTCCCCCGTGCTGACTACGCCGTTGCAGCATTCCTCCCTCTCCCTCCTGCTATGGTGGCGGACGGAACTTCATGTCAAGCTGGAGTTTTGGCCGAAGTCATCCTAGATTGTAGATGTAGTCTCAGAATAGCCTGGTTTATAGGCAAAATTTTCATTTCAGAAAAAACGGAGGTGGTCTGACCGTGGGAAAAAAAGCGCGAAATCTGAGAGCCAAAAACCAAAAAAATTAGAGCTAGATTTTGTAGGTTACAGGGTCCCCAACTTCGCCTTCTTGTTCCACTCAACAACTATTACATCCAACTCCCGTCGCTGAA